TTAGAGTTTTGGTATAAGGTAGTTAAACACAAAGTTGTTTTGTGTCTCATTAACTAAACACAAAGGACTCATGTTCAACTATGTGAACTTTTTGAATTTGTGCTTAATCATGGTTTCCACCTTTTTTAGGTTGTAAATGAATTCTGTTCTAATGCATTTATATTTATATGTGTAGTTAGGTGTGCATCTGCGAGAATGATGAATGTGATATATTTGAATGATAAATGAAATAAGTTTTCTTTATATGCAAGGGTACATTCATTTATGTATTTGAATGTTTGAATGTATTTGTGGTCAGTTACCAAGAGTCATGTTTATTTTTTTTCTAGTTTCCAGGTGAAGGAATTTGCTGTGCAAACATTTTTCATTGTGGTCTCTCTCTCTCTCTCTCTCTCTCTCTCTCTCTCTCTCTCTCTTGTTAGCTAAGTCACACTATTTATTACAAAATGGTTACCTCTGTGTGTTATCTTTTCAATGGCCATGAAATGTGTAAAACTTTTGTACCTGAATACATATACCATATCTTTGTTAATTTTTATCATATACGAACATAATTTGGCTGAGTGATTTAGGCAATTAGTCAACATCAATCTTAAAGATAACTTTAACCTTTAAACCCTACTGGTAGCTTTTCAATCTTAGTTTGATCATATACAAAAAGGCAAGATGTTCTGGATCTACCAAGTGTGATACGGTTTGTCAGATATTTTGATATTTGCAAAGTTATTTCCTTGCTAGATGCACATGTGCCTGTCCCAAGCCAGGAAATGCTTGGTTTAGTTCTTTAATGATTGTGTCATTTGCTGTTAAAAGAATTTTGAAGTTTGACTTTTGTTGTTGTAGGGCTGCCTTTTTATTTACACTTGCATCTCTTTCTATTCAAACTTGAGTACTGTGTAGTGGAGCATCCCCTGGTATCTCAAACATAAATTTGTATAGATGTTTACTAGTTTGACAAGCTGCAATAAAAGCTATCCTCTCCTTTAATCCGAATTGCCTTTTCCTCTAATAATGATTATGTATATAAAGTTTAAAGGAATTTGTCCAATTTCTTAATGGCATACTGTATAAAAAAAGGAAGATATGGTATGATTGCAGACCTAGGGTCAATTACATGTCAAAGTAATTAATTACATTTCAATTACATTGCTTTTTAAATGTAATTAATTACATCACAATTACATTGATTTTCAAATGTAATTAATTACATTACAATTACATTGCCAATGTAATTAATAACATTTCAATTACTTTTGTCCATAGACATACAAGAGCTATATCATTTATAATAAAATCATAAAAATGCCATCAGGCTAGAATAGAACGAAACTTTTATAAATTAGATATACATGCACTTTTTAACAGTGAAAATATTTGAACAAGATCTGTTTAAAAAAAGTTTTCAAATATCTAAAGTCATTGTTACATTTATTCACCATTAAATTTTCAATGCTGATTATTTGATTGCATTTCTTATTGTTATGGAGAAAAAATAGATCCAGATTAATTTTGAAAATTTGTATTCTTAAAAAGAATTTTCTTCAAGTTCAAGTTTCTCCTAAAAATGTTAATTTAGATTTTAAAGGTTTTCTAATGAACCTCAAGAGTCATGTGAAAATTGAAGTAACTTTAAAGCTTCCATTTATTACAGAAGAAGTAATGGTAGCATTTTCCAGACTTGTCTTTTGTCAATTATATTGGACTCCATTCTTGTATGTTTTGACTGCTGTTCTTAAAATTTTGAAGAAAGTGTTAAAATAATATCCATCTGTACAGATTTTAACATAAACATATGAAAATTATGATGGTTTAAAAACATTGCCTTTGGCATTTTAATCAAGGGACAAACTTTTACTTCATAATTAATTAAGTGAAAGGAATAACCTGAGGCTAAGATTATTGTTAAAATGTAAGAACAACAAATTTACAAATTGTATGTAAATAAATTGGTACTGTTTTTAATTTTTGAGATTTTTATGTAAACATGTAAAATAATTAATGAATTGAATACAAAAAAAAATATTATACATCCTATAATAATTAATTATCATGATAAATGTTTAAAAAGCATTTTAAAAAATCAAAGTACCAAGTGCATACTTAATATAGGAAAAAAATAAAATTTACAAGTTGTATCAGAAAAGCCAAAATTAGTAAAATTTCCCAGCAATTATTCAAATGTAATTCAAATAATTGAAGAGTAATTCATATTTACATGGCAAAAAGGCAATGTAATTCAATACTTTTAATTACATTTAATTGAAAATATGCTCAATTACACATTACATTAAATTACTTTCAAAATTGTAATCAATTAAAGCTAATTACAATTACATTTTTAATGACCCCAGGTCTGCATGATTGCCAATGAGAAAATTTTCCACTAGAGATTCAATGACTTAGAAGGTAGCAACTACAGGTCAATGTATGGCATTCAACAATGAGCAAAATCCATAATTCATAGTAAGCTATAAAAGGCTCCAACATGACAAATGTAAAACTATTCAATTGAGAAAACTTAGCCTGATTTATCTAACAAACAACAACCACTGAACCACTCTATGGAGTAGACATCTCGATTCTCCCATACAATATATCAGCATTACCAGGGACCGGGGCTTGCCTTCCTAGACGGACGGTTGCTGGTACAAGGCAGCTATTGAACCAAAAGTTCCAAATGGTAAAGTTGAAATCATCCGATAGAAGGTTTCACAGATTTCATGATGTGGTTAATAACTGTTATGGAATATCTGTGTCACAGATGATCATGGATATGTTCCACTTTTTATAATTCGATTTAAAGGGCTTGACCGTTACAGAGGAAGGCAAATCTTGCGACAGTTCATGCACAGGTCAATGTAACGCGCATGTCTTAATTTGATCACACGGCATATCAATTTTAACAGCTATAGCACTCCTCACACTATTCTGAATGCACGGTCTGCTAGGAAGTAACTGAATATATCTAAGGTCAGATTGTTGAGTTTATTGTACGCATAATTAATGTAAATACTTATCTTATTAATTTTTCAATTTCAACAGATTATTTATTAATTAATTAAAATCGGTCACATACAATTTGATAATTTATACATTAGTGGACAATTTACTAAAGCAAGGATTTATATATAGTACACTATTCTGAATGCACGGTCTGCTAGGAAGTAACTGAATATATCTAAGGTCAGATTGTTGAGTTTATTGTACGCATAATTAATGTAAATACTTATATTATTAATTTTTCAATTTCAACAGATTATTGATTAATTAATAAAAATCGGTCACATTTAATTTGATAATTTATACATTAGTGGACAATTTACTAAAGCAAGGATTTATATATAGTATACAAATCCTTGACTAAAGTAATTATAATACGAGCGAATTTATTTTAATTTATGTTGGATTGTATAATAAATGTTTGATTCACATAGTTTTTAATTCCAGTTACATTAATATTTTTGTATCTTTATCGAGGTATAAAATAATAAAAACTAGATTCTAGTTATTTCTATTCAATTTACATTTTGTAATGCAGATTATAACTGTACTGTTCCATTATCAGGTATGTTAACTAATTATTTGATAATGGGGTTGCCTTGTGAAACATTAACACCATCAAATGCAATTAATTATGGTACCATTTATTGTTTTTTAGCGTGTTTAGGACAGCAGTAAACCGTAAATTATATTTCAAAGTTGAGTCTCCGTTTAAAGAAATTAGTTGATAATTTGTTTTTGAAATGACAGCTACAGTGATGTCTTTATAACCGATTGTTTTTCGGTCAGCCAAATTGCGTTGCATATATACAGAGACATATAATACAATATGTCTCTGATATATATTAATACTTATTTCAAATAATATTCATTCATATTTCGTTGTAATGTCTTTATAACCGATTGTTTTTTCGGTTATCCAAATTGCATTGCACACATTTTAATATTTATTTGAAGTATAAAATGTATATTATTTAAATATTTGTTCATAATGACATTTATTGGAAGGTTGATGCCTGGGTAGAAAGGGCGTTGAAAGAGGTGTTATAATTGGGGTAAAGAAAACTGTTTTAGCCCCCTGTGATGTCAAAATAGCTACGCATCTGAAACAGAAACTGAAAATTTGTTATGCAGGATTATTTCATTCATCAGCAGGACCATCTATATGTATGTCAGTCAGAGAAGTGGCAGTATGCCTTATCTAAATACATCAATAAAACAGGTACATATTTTATTCTTTAATAATGATTGCTTTTACTATCAAAGACCATACCACGAATAAGAATAGAATACGATTGATTTATTTATTGGTTTCTTATCTTTATATCCCATCCTGATTAAGATAAACAGAAAACATTCAAACATTGATTTATTTTATAATCACACTGAGGAGGTATAGTCCCGCAAGTAATTTTATATTCAAAGCATTTTTAGTCTGTGTACAAGTATACCTAAATTTGATTTATTTTCACCTGTCATCTTTATAAAAGAGAGAACCATTTCACTAATTTCAGAAACTAGTCCTGCACTATTTGTGCAAAGTATATATATATATATATATAAATAAATGGTATCTCGCAGCTATATAAAAATTCATCACCGTAAATATCAATGATATCAGTAAGTAAACTGGTGCATTTTTATATTAAATATTTATTTAACAACCAATTTGAATTAGGCAAAAGAGCTCATCCAATATATGAGCAAATAAGACTTGGAGCTAGCTGGGTTCAGGTCATAAAACGGAAACGAGCTGTTTCGGTTAAAGAAAGCAATCTCACAGTCTTGTAATTGGGGACCAGTTGATTTAGATCTATGGCTATTATTCATGTACCATGATCACAACAAATCATTCATACCCTGTCTGTATTATGTATAAATAATGTGATCAAAACTATGACTCTTGCACTAGGATAAACCGTCATTACTCACACAGCTTTTTTGCGCACGTTTTAATCGTGCCCATAAAAATAAAATGCTACATGTAATGGACAAGATAATCAAATGTTGATTTTCAAGATTGTTATAACTATCAAATATTTACATAAGCTGAAAATTTTATTGCCATCTGTTTGCCGTTCAAGTAACGAATCTTTGTTGTTTTTTCGGGGCTTGTTTAAACTAGCTTTATTGGATTTTTCATATGAGTGGAACTAGTAGCTATCAATCCACTTGCGCATTATCAACTTTAAAGTTCAATAGATATTAGTTTTAGTTTTACAGAAAACAATGTTTCCATTAGTCTCAAATTTTAGAAAATTGATCAGCAAGGCAAGATAGTTTACTACTATACTTGGAAAAGGGCATCGTTGGTTTATGTCTGTCATATTTGTTTTTCGTAAACTGTTTTGTTATAAATTACTAATAGGCCGTTATTTTTCTCAATTGCATTGTTTTATATTTTTCATGTCGTGGCCTCTAATAGCAGACTATACGGTATGGGTTTTTCTCATTGTTGAAGGCCGTAAGGTTGCATATAATTGCTTACATTTACTTCATTTGAACTTTAGTGGATAGTTGTCTCACTGGCAATTTTACCGCATTTCCTTAAATTTATATAAGAGAATTTTATTTTAGTTGTTTTGTTAAAAAAATTATAGTCTTTTAATAAACATTAATAACGAATAGAGAAGAAATATCCTAAGTGTACACTATTCTGCAAGTTATGTTTACAAACTTTATTACCAGATGTGTAGATCTTTGATAAAATTATCGTCTGAAAACTGTTGATATAAATTCACAACCTAAGCGAGTTAATTGTCTGGGTTAATGGTTTTCTTAAATCTTATTTATATCATTACAGAGGTCAAGAAACGTTCAAATAAGTTAGGTGATAAATTGATTTTATTGCTTTTGTGGTTTAGATTTAATAGTAGCGTATATCTCAGAATATAAAACTGCTAATTAGTACGATTTTGTTATCTGAAAGAGAAACAATGAAATTGGGTTACAGCTTTTCTATAAAAGCATGCAAAGCAAACCTTTGATCAACGTGCTTGCTATGTTTGTTGGATGTTTGTAAACAACAGGTAGGTAGTCTATTTCAGTCTGTTTACTATATACTGGAATTTGATTGGACCATAAACATTAACTTCATTTAAATGTTAAGTTTCACATTTTTATTGTCCAATCAAATACCAGTATATATTAAACAGAATGAAACTCCGCCTATGCCTTTGTTTACAAACATCCAAGCAAACATAGCAAGCAAGTCGATCAAAGGTTTGCTTTGCATACTTTTATAGAAAACTGTAAATACTGTGAACAGTTATACATGGAATTTTATGTATATACGTATATTAGAGAATATTCCTTTTTGTAAGCAGTCATAAATGATTTGGGATAATAATTGTTGTCGAACGCCATACGCATGATATGCAATAAAACAAAAACAAAAACAAACAAGTTTGAGATTTGTAAAAAGCTGTGGACTGCTTCGCTCTTTCCTAATTTAAGGTAATATTTGTTCACTTCACTTGTTGAAAATTAAAACATTTACAAATAGACTTTGGAGGTATGCCTCTCTGGAGGTGTCACACAGTGCCTAGATTGGCAGAAGTTATAAAATACAGATAATGCATTTTTGTAAACATTGTATAGGAACATTGTTTAGCAAAACAAATCGTGCATATTGCAGATTAACAAAACAAATGAACACGTAATTATAATTAATATTTCAATATTGAATTTCAGTGTGCAATATATGCATAATAAAACGAACATGAATTAATGACAGTTGGTCGGAACTGAAATACACATAGTTAATTTTCCGGCATTTGATGTCTTATCCTGAGACGAGAAAAGTCTGTAATTTTGTATCTCATTTAAGCCAATAGCTATTGATGTATCTCAGCCGCATCATGAAACAACCAATCAGAATCTATATGTGATAAGAAATTATTTCAAGATGGCGTATATATCGACTGAAACTAATAGCTCCGCACCGTGATGCAAAGCAAAACAAAACAAAAACAAAATTAAACAAACAAACAAAACAAAATGTTACACGATACCAGTTTTAATGCCGTATTGACGAGCTCCCTAAAGACGGCAAATATTCCATAGGCTATTTTTTAGAGTCAAATTTTGGGGGGTCTTAACTGCACCTCAGTTTAAAAAGTTTTTGTCCGGGAAACATGATTCATTTACTAGTTTTAATTGGCTTCGAACTAGCTTTCAGTAACTGCGAGTGCTATTAGGTGGGTACTTGGTGTCTTTAGTCTATTTGTTAGTTGTTTATTATGCTTTGAGTCGGTCTGATGAGTCAAACCTACATCAACTTTGTTTTATGTTGTGTTGTTAACCACTGTCCCCGGTTACGTGAGGGCTTAATTCTCACAAACTTGTTGTTTGTCGCAGTCTATTATACTTGTTTTACGTTTAAATTGATTTATACTTAAATATGCTCTTGTTTTCTTGTTTGAATTGTTGCCGGGGCCTTTTATTGCTATTATACTGTATGGACTATGTTCAATGTTGAAGGCTGTACGGTATCCTATAGCTGTTTACGCCCACGCCATTAAGTTTTAGGCGAATATTTCCCTCACTGACATTCATGTTAGATCTTCTAGTTTTTATATTTTCTGATGGTAAAAGTCGAATTCAGTCATTGGAAATATAAAAAGTATTAACCATATATCAAATTACCAACATAACAGTTGGCAAGTCAAATATCTTCATCTGTTATCGTATCAATTTTAATTATTGTTCTATATTGTAAATTATCAATCTGGAGCTGATTATTGTTTGATTGTCAATTCAAGATCTTCCATGTTTTCAAAAGCGTGCTTGGATAGTGGGTATTTCAATCACCAAAATGACTTAGGAAGTTTGTAGTTCCTTATGGTTGTGTTCTCTTATACATTTTCGTATCACAATTTGTTAGCAAGGTCAAAGTGTTATGAGGTACTTTAAGTAAAGAGATAAACTAATCGTATGCTCATTCTCGAAGAACCCCGCAATGTTAAGTAACCCACTAAAATGGACATGACATCGGACAAAGCGTTCTATACGATAGGACTTAACTTATAAGCGATATTGATTTTCTCCAAGATTTGTTACCTTAGTCAAATTTGCTTGGTTCCAATATACCAAGATTGCAATACAAGAACAAGATTCCAAATAAGTGATTGAACCAAACTACAGTGAGAAGGAATTGTTTATTTGTCAGATATTGAAAGTTATCTAATTTTATACACGTTACAACTTCAGTTATGCTATTATCAATTTTCACCTATTTATTATCCAGCTATGCTATTATCAATTTGCATCCATGTATTGTCCATCAAACGGCGAAGTAGGTCATTGGTTTCGGGAATCTGTTAGCTAGTTGTTACTGCGGTCAGATTCTTGTTATTTCAAAATATTACAATCAGAGTTATATCGACTCTCAATGTATGCTACTGGTTGGCGGTAACAAGTTCCAAAACATTCTTTATGAAATGAATGTTTTTGAACTTGTTTAGTGGCGGACTTTATAGGCTGCACCAGTACCGATGAACTTGATTTATCACTGTATTATTATTTAATATAGAACATTAATCCATGTTATCTTCATATCAACCTCAAACGTAGTTTCTCATGTTGATTTTGGACATCTGTTGCCAGGGTTCAATTCAGCACCCCATTATTTCAAAATTTCATTTCATTTTAGTTTTTATTTGAATTTTGAATTTTATTTATCTATTTTATTTGCATCTAATTTACGGTTGCCCAAAGACCCTTTGTTTGTGGGTTGGTAACCGACAGAAGCCATGATCTTACTTTGCCAATAAAATATATTTTGACTTTCATAACGTCTTCTCTCTTATAACAACATTCCTGTCGAGCAGGATCTGCTTACCCTTCCGGAGCACCTGAGATCACCCCCAGTTTTTGGTTGGGTTCTTGTTGCTTAGTCTTTGGTTTTCTATGTTGTGTCATCTGTACTATTATTTGTCTGTTTGTCTTTTTATTTTTGGCCATGGTGTTGTCAGTTTGTTTTCGATCTATGAGTTTGACTGTCCCTCTGGTATCTTTCGTCCCTCTTTTTTATCCTATATTGTGACATCACAGAATGTTTTATGTGCAATGAGTTACATGACAAGTGCCAATAAAGGAGCAGGAATTGCTTACTATTACATAGCATCCCAAGCTCATGGCAAGTATTTTTTGAGGTATGGATTCAAGCTGCTCTTTAGTTTCCCGTGTAGTGTTTTGTGAACTGTTGCTAGAATGTTTGTCTTTTTTTTCTTTTTTGAAATTGTGTTTATTCAACATATGATAATTTATTGCCTTCTTGGTATGAAGGCTCTAAAGAGCCTGTATCGTTAGTTCTATGTGCATCTTCAACAATGGACACTTATCTTCAACAATGGTCACTCTCTAACATTGTAGACTAGAATATAATTCATGACCAAAATCTCGTTTTTGTTGGCCTTGTTTTCCTGATTATTTTTTCTGTTTACAGTTTCTCTCTTATCTTCTATAGTATTTTTTCCCAAAACTGAAAAAAAGAAGGTAAAAAGTCGTCATTTAGGGGCAATAAATCCTATAAGAAGACAACTGATAATTTCATCTATGATATCTTATTTGTAGATCTTGTCATCCTGATCTTTTTTGCTTTTTAAAGTTAATGTCCATCCATTATAGTTTTCAGTATTCAAGATAATAGGCAAAAACGCAAAAGATTGGTAAAAATCGTCATGTAAGGGCAATAACTCCAATAAGGAATCGACTAACGATTTCAGCCATGTAGACTTATTCTGATATCTTGTTTTGCTGATCATGTTTGCCATTTAAATGTTCTATTTTTCTATTATAATTTTCAAGATAGCATACACGAAGCAACGAAATGACAAAAAGATCGTCTTTATCGTCATTTAGGCGCGATAACTTCAACAAGGAGTCGCTTGACAATTTTCGGCCAACATGACTTATTTGAAGATATTGTCTTGCTGATCTTTTTTACCATTTAAAGTTTATGTCTATCTTTTATAGTCTTCAAGATAATAGCTAGAAACGAAAAAAAAAATGGTAAAATCATTCATTGAAAATACCTCCTTCGCGAAGTCGTTTTACAGTTTTGATATAAATGGATAGTAGATAAAACCTTGATCTTTGCCCATAAAAAGTGAAATCTCAGCATCCTCACAAATTGCATCTTGGTCAATAAAAACCATCCAAAACTATGAAGTTCCAAGTATGCAAAACATATGACTGTTTTAATGTTTTATGGATTGATGATGACTGAAGGACAACAAATGATTTCAACTGTGAATAGGACCAAGCAATGGCAATATCTTTTAAAACCTTTGAGAACAAAAATATGTGTCTTTAAACAGCATGCTCACACTATCATATCTAAATGAAATATGATTCTAAACCCTAATTTGGCATGTTTAAAAAGTTCACACCAATCAGGTATAAGTTGACGAGGAAAATAATTACCATGAGTTAAACAATGGGTGCTTTACGTGGAGTAGGATCATGGTGTTCTCTTATTATTCCAATGATGGTTTTTGGTTGTCCCTTTGGTGACTTCTTCTTCTAGAGGTTCCCGATTTGCTACGTATCAGGTACGGTTGGTACTTTACTCAACGGTTAATGCTGTTTTGGAGATATCATTTAATGCAGGAGATTATTTTATTCATCATGATAAAATTAAAAGAATTAAAATGCATATCAGCAAAAAACTACCTTTAGTTAACGTTTTATTTTGATAACGATTTCAACGTTTCTAGAACACTTTGTTTATGATTGTTTATGAGACTATTTAGTTGTGCACAAGTGAATGAATCAAACAGACCTTAAACGAACTGAGTTGACGCGACCTTTAGATTCTAAATATAGATTTGCGTTTCTGTTTGTTATAGGTATTGTTTTCGTTTCGTTTATTTATAGAAAAAAGAAAAAACAATTTTCTATGTACAAACAGAATTTGGAATAATTGAAATAATAACTATGAACTATTTTCTAAAACACGTGTTACTGGTTTTTGTTATATTCGTTAACGTGTTAAAATTGTGTTGATTTCATATTATAATTAGTTCTTGCATGATTTTGAAATTAGTTTTTATTATTTAAGTAATCTATTTCGATCATTACAGCAGAAGATTTTTTATTGAGAGGATGAGAGTGCTTAGATTTCATATTGAGTGAGAAAAGGGCACTTTAATTGTTGTCGATAAAAAAAACACCAATGTCTTGAATCATTGAATTTAAAAGACTAGTATAATTGTCATATCATTATAGTAAATTGTACTGACACTTGTGTTCTTTGAATAGTTTATTAGCGTATCTTTATTTGACCCTTTCTTCGTACTTTTAACTTTGATCAAATTTCTCATACGTGTGTATGACGATTTATGCGAAAATGCAGAAAAATATAAAAATGGTATAGATAATGAAATTGAACTCCTAAAGTAACTTAATTACAATATTAAATTTTATTAAAGAATGCGAAAAATTGATACTGATTATTTAATTATAAAATAAATGGGGAATGTGTCCATGTGACACAGATAATGTCCCCGCTTGCACATAATGTGATACAGGGACATAACTCAAGAATGGTCAAAGTGACGCTACCCAAATTCGTTCTTGATCTAAGTATTGTGATAATAAGCATTGTGTATAAGTTTCATAACATTTGGTTGAGGCAAACTTAAGTTATAGAATGGATATGAAAAAAAATCAGCATTTTTTCCATTTGTAAATGGGCATAACTCTAGAACGGTAAAAGTGACACCACCAGGTAATAAGCATTGTGTATAAGATTCATAATATTTGGTTGAGGCAAACTTAAGTTATAGAATGGAAATGACAAATTCAGCATTTTTTTTCATTTGTAAAGGGGCTTAACTTTAGAAAGGTAAAAGTGACACCACTCAAATTCAAACTTGATCTGTGTTTTGTGGCAATAAGCATTATGTATAAGATTCATAACATCTGGTTGATGCAAACTTAAGTTTTAGAACGGAAATGAAAATATAGCAACTTTTCCATTTGTAAAGGGGCATAACTCTAGAAAAGTAAAAGTGACACCGACCAAATTCAAACTTGATCTGTGTTTGTGGTTATTAGCATTTCGTATAAGTTTCATAACATTTGGTTGAGGCAAACTAAAGTGAGAGAACGGAAACCAATTTTGGGACGTACGGACGGATGGACGTACAAACGGACAAGGGTAAAACTTAATGCCCCCTCCGCTACGGCGGGAGCATAAATATTTGTTGATCACCGATAAGACATAAGTTTCTATGTATACCTAAAGACTTGATCAGTCGGGTTTATATTTCCATACTTTTAAGTTGACTTGCACACAAGGATTTTTAATGTAGGTCAAATAACCTGCGGAACAGGTTTTGTATTTATTTTCATCATTAATACATTTTCAATGAGGTCAATTTAATTTGTATGTTAAAATGGCTCTTATTCTATCATGTTTTTCTAAAAGCCTACCCCAAAAAATGCCAACCTATTCATTCTATAATGTTATATCAATATAACAGGCGAACATTAAATGAAATATGAATGTGCTTTATATTTAACTTTTTTTTGCCTGTGCAATTTCAGTAGAAATAAATCTTAATTATAAACCGTTCTTGCAACGGTTACTTGCAACGGTTGGATGAAAGCATAATCGAGTACACACAATATCGTTTATTATGAATAAGAACATATCCACATGAAATCTATACCAAGTTGTAGCTAAAAATCCTCCAAATACTTTTAGTAATGATTCATAAAACATACGTTGACATTAAGGGCATATATGAATTATTTTCAAAAGTTCAATGACGGCTCCCAGTTTGTACTACGGTTGGTACCGTAGCAAATCGGAAAACATCTTCTTAGAGAGATATGTAAATATTCCCTTTTACGTCCTTTTGGTTTCTTGTTGGATGACACCTTATTGTCATCTTTTATTTTAAACTTTATACAAATTTATATATTCTATCGAGTATTTTTCAATGTCCTTATATATCCTTTCAATCGTAATATTTGTATCCCATTAATTCTTCCCTGTATTTGACGCATTCTTAAACTAATATTTATCTAAGAGTTATAGGTATATCAACTAGTATGTATATATTACTGGATTCAAGAATTTTAGCTTTTTTCTTCATTGATATTAATGTTTTTGTCCAAACCTGAGAGAATTCAGTCAAATCAGAGGTTGCATCAATATGATCTTGGGTTATATTGATCTATATGGTAAAAATATCATGATTCAAAATACAAAAAAAATGTCAATATTTATCATGCTGTCTTTTACAGTCTTGATGTCTTTGAATGTTTATTTCAATAACAACATGAATGGATGTAAAATTCTTTTTAAATGGTTAAGGAATATGATGTTCAGTAGTTGTCGTTTGTTGATGTGGTTCATGAGTGTTTCACGTTTTTTATATAGATAAGACCGTTGGTCTTCCCGTTTGAATGGTTTAACACTAGTAATTTTTGGGGCCCTTTATAGCTTGCTGTGCGGTATGAGCCAAGGCTCCGTGTTGAAGACCGTACTTTGACCTATAATGGTTTACTTTTATAAATTTTGACTTGGATGGAGAGTTGTCTCATTGGCACTCATACCACATCTTCTTATATCTATAAAGAGGCATCAGCTACGAGACATAAAAAAAATAGAATATGAACCATTTCGTTGACTGATTCAATCCACACAAAAAAATCATTCTTATACAGGTAAAAACGATGATTGACTTATTTTTTTTTTCCTATAACATAAAATCAAACAGACCTTAGAAAAATCAAATTGGACGTGGTCGCTATATATTTATATTGATGTTTTTGTGTTATCAGGTTATGTGACCGTCGGCAGTCTTCGGAGGTCATTTCGATGGTTAATTAGATGGCGTCTATACTAAAATACACACGAAATGCTGATATATATTATCGAGTTCATGCATGCATTGGTAATTGTTTATTTCAGACTTATTGTAATTTGGATATACGTTTTAGTATAAATCAGATATGAGAATTTGAGTCAAATCGGCGAACATGAATTTGACAGCTAATGCCCCTTTAACCAATATTTCAAGGATATTTATTTACAAAGCAATTACGACAAAGTCTAACACTGACTTTGAGTTCGGAACTAGTATCAAAGAATCTGATTCCCTAACATGAACTTACAAAGTATTCACTTCATATATTTTGCCTTTTTTTCCTATGTAAAGATGTCCAGATTCCGAAATACAAAGAGAGTAGATATTAAATATTCCAATCTTTCCCATGTCACACCATCTAATCAAATTTCCAGAACTGTTTAGAAAAAATAAAATATCAGTGTTCTCGTTTGATACAACAATATTATCAGATGGAGTAGTTACTGCACGAAATGGTCTAAAAGGGATTTTGTCTGTGTTCACTTCTGGATGGCCATTGAAGAGATTCATAATATCTCCATCCTCACTCAGTATTACCACCCTGCCTCTCTTATCTTTAGATAACCTGTCCACTACACAGGTATTACCATTTTTTGTTCTGGTAATATTCTTAACATATGTAAATATATGATTGCCTTGTTTGTCATATTCATAAGTAGTTTCATGTTTCCCATTTCTGTTCATTACAATCACAACCCGTCTTCCCACTGCTGGGTATACTACTTCCCCACTAAAAGCACCAACAGTGACTGTTCCATCCGAGTCTACATGAACAGCTGATGTCTCCTCTAAATCCTTTACCTCATACCTAGATTTGGTCACTTCGCCTGTTTGGTCACTGATCTGCATCAGTCTACTTCCATTACAAACCAAAAGGAGATCTTTGGATGGAGTAATAGCCATACCATAAATTGTTATGTCTTTTTGAGCAATTATCTCCAAACTCGTCCCTTCTATTTTTACTTTCTGTAATACATCCTGGTCAGAAATCCACAGTGCATCCACAGAACCGGCTGCCATTGCCATATAATATACGTCTGAGATTTTAGTGTCAAATTGTTTGATAATTTTGATTTCATCCTTTGTAGAAACTTTTTCTAATGAACCAATGTTATATGCAGTTATTTGTTCAGGAAGAAATGTTGGAATAGAATCGAACTTCGTACAAGGAAATGTGACTGCTTCCTCTATTGATTTTACTAACCCCGAACCATCCACAAAGACTTTTTTGGCATCCATGGATTGGATAATATCATCTAATTTTAAGTTTTTGGATTCCAGACTTCCAATCAGCAGGTTCACCTCATTTTGTCCCTTTTCAGTATTCAGATTTAAATCTTCCCACTTTTTAATTAGCTCAGTTTCCAATTTTTCAGTATGTTGATCTACTTCCTTCTTCAGCAGGACATTCTGATCTTTAATTTTCTTCATAGTGTTTTCAAATTTGGAAAGTTCATTACTATGAACATACTTCATTTCTGCTTTCCTTCTCTGCAGCTCATCAATATTAGTTCTAATATTCATTTGACCTGTCTTCAATTTTTCGATCTTGATTTCATACCCCTCTCCGATGGCTACCAGACCATGGCCATTGTGGGTTTCAGAGATACATAGTGGACATACTAAACAGTCACACGATTTGCAAAACATCACACATGATTGCCTTGTGTGGCTTTTGCAACTTAAATTGGAAAAATCTATTTCTTCTGCATGAAGTCCAACCTCATGAATAGAAACAACTTTGTGATCCTTGGCAAATTTGAATTTCACATGAATTTTCTCTTTACACTTGTCACACATGAGCATGTCACAATTTAAGCACTTCCATTCTATTCTGGTGTCCTCCTCACACAGGCTACAGGAAACTGAAAACTGTCCTTCACAGGCCATAACGGATTTGGAAAATTCTAATATGTCTGCGGTATTGTACTTCCTTGTGTGTGTAAACAGTTAATAATACACCTTTAAACTTTTGTATTTCAGGCGTTAATTAAAGGCTTTTTATCTAGTACAAGACTTAGTTATCACCATAGATAAAATACACCGATTATAAGTGTTGAATTGTCGATTGAGTGTACCATGCCATTTGATGAGGGACTTTCCGATTTGAATTTTCCTTGGAGTTCGGTATTTTTGTTATTTTACGTTTGATTTGTTTTATTTTCACTTTACCGGTCTGTCTTAGTCCTTCAATCCGCTGGTATATTGCCTATAGTATCTTAGAAACAGTCTGAATAGAGAACAATAGACAAAAAGTCCAGAATAAACTTTAAGGGCAAAAACATAAAGAATAGAGAAAATCATCCCAAAAAAATAAAATTAAAGAAAAACAGGCCAAAGAAATAAAGAATAGAGAATAATGAGCAGCTAAAGTATAATGGGTAAACAAAATAAAGAATAGATAATGATGGCATAAAAAATAGTATAGAAATTAAGGATCCAGACATCATATAAAGGTCGATAAAACACATATAAAATAGACAGGAATCTAACATAAAGGTCAACAAAACACATAAAAAAGATGGAAACAGTGGCGGATTCAGGGAGAGAGGGGAAATTAGAACCCACCATTTTTTTTTTACCATCAATGAATTTAAATTTGAATAATTTTTATGGTTGGAACGCACCCTCTCCCCCGAATGGATGTATCTAATTTACAGCAAGATATTATTGTCAGTGCAGAATGATAGTTTTCAATAATTTAGGAGGGGTCTTTCAGCGTTTTACCAGATAAAAGCATGATAAATGCAGGGTATCCAATTTCATTTAACGACATCTTGGCGTAAGTACTGTATTGACAGAAAGTATACACTTACAATTTTATCCTGAAGCCGTTCAACACTGATTTAATAGAGAGTAGAAACGTGTGTCTATATTCTTGGTAGTATAGATTATCTACAAATTGAAATCGTAAAATGTCACTGAGCCACAATGTGAAGCTTTTTTGGCGAGTGAGTGTAGTTCACATTGTGCCGAGAGGCTGATATCTTATATATATAGAAACCCTGATAATCTGTTTATCGTGGTATTTCTGGTCTTCGTTTCTTCTCATAGACAGTTTCACGTTTGAGAAAGGAAAACTTGATAACGGTCTCCTCACACATTGTGACGTCTCTGATAAGTTCTGCCAAGGATTTGTATAGTGAAACAATTTACTATACAAATCCTTGGTTCTGCTCATGTTCCAATCCAAGATACGAGAATTACGGAGCGACTGAGCACGGTGATATAGACAAAGGGAAACACAATAAAAAACGTATTGGACTGTGGCTTTTGATTACACTCTTAGCATTTTCTTCCTTCTTTTATGCACCCAATATATACGGCCCTATCTGATTGACTTAGAGACACAGTTTATCATTTTTGTTTCACCTCAAAACAAGTCGCAAAGCTGAAACTCTGGTATGCTGTTTCTAAATGACGAGGCGTACCTAGTATGTCTTTTTAGGTATATATATATAAACATTTGATTCGTCATTGTGCGAAGTGCTCCTTTGAAGGAGGGATTTTCTTAACCAGAACAGAACAGAATGGCAGCACCGTTATCAACGTATTAGAATTGAAAATGGAAACGGGGAATTTGTCAAAGAGACAACACCCGACCAAAGAGCAGAAACAGCCCAAGGCCACCAATGGGTCTACAACGAATCGATAAAGTCCCACACCCGGATGCGGGCTTCAGCTGTCCCCCGTATACTAGTTCAGCGAAATGGACGCAACACTAAACGCCGAAACATATAAATGAACAAAAATTGAAAATCACAGAAGACTAAGAAAGGCGCATAAATATGGCGTGGTTAAACATGTTTTGTGAGATCTCAACCCTCCCCCTCTACATCTAGCCAATGTGGAATAAACAAACACGCACAGTAAAACTTAGTTTAAAAAGTCCGAGGCCGATTTAAGAATAGATAACAGAAGAAACTAAGCAAAATGACAATAATCAACATTATTAACAAAGGACTATTAGCAGGTACATGCCAGCTCCAGACCTCAATTTAACTGATCTAAAGATTATGTCTTTATCATATAAATATCGAACACAACCCCTCCCGTTAGGGGTTTAGTATCATGCCATCATCAATTATACGAATTGGTCAGTTTATAGGGAACACTAGTCATGTTAGTGGTAGGTCAGTTATATTTGGTATGAAGTTGTATTACAGGATAACATTGGCACATTTTATTTCCATGAAGATGATTTGGCCTTAACCCCTCAGCCATTGTCTATTGACTTTTAACTTTTAATCTTTTGCTTAATTATATGTAAGTTAAAAATATGTCAATTTAAGGTGAACCACTGATGGTTGGAATTTAATTTGTGATAAGGTCAGTTTACATGTTTGAGTATTGCAATTTGAGTTTCAACATTTGCATTAAACTAAAATTACACATTTTATAGATTGTCCAGTTTTTTTTCAGTACCGATTTTTTTAGTACTACATTTGTATTTCAATACGGTTTCTGGACTGATTTACTTCTGTAGTGATTCAATACTTACTTTTGATTGCTGTTCCTTATTGATATTTCATCTTGTTGAAGTAGCTCTTTTTTTTTTATATCACTTTCAACAATTTTGATTAATATGTACATGATAAGTGTCAATACCGATTAAAGCACTATTTCATAAAAATTTCATATTTTGAATGTGGTGGCACTCTTGTATTGCATGAGCTAGGCGTTCAGTGAACTCAAACTGGTACATACATATTCATATCAAATTCATACTGGGAACTAATAACGTGAGTTGTTGACTTGTTATAAGCTGAGGATGATACTAGTATGGTATATCTCCTTATAAAGTTCCTTAATACCACAAGGTGAGCATGACGGATTGACCGACTTTAATGCATAAATATCTATATTCCTGACCATAATATAGTTTTCAAATTCTTACTGAGATTTACTTGTGTGTTTAAATATGTCAAACCTTCTAGTTTCAAAGGATGATGCCATATAAATTTACAAGAACTGTGGTTGACTTGTAAGCAGGTTCATGGATCTGGTACAATAAGAGATCATACGAACATTGCTGTAAATAATATTTATGTTGTGCTATCTTCATGGCGTATTAATATTCTGAAATTATATAAACGATTCTGTCGCTTTTAAGTGCAGGCGGGCATTAATATGTGTAACAATATAAATGATCAAATCAAGTAATCCCAACTTTAATATAAGAAGAAATGAATCTAGTTATTTTTTTTTAGGTTGGAATTATTAAGCAAGCCTTATACTATTACTGGATAATATACTTTATTTAATTATTAAGCAAGCCTTATACTATTACTGGATAATATACTTTATTTCGTTTCATTTAGAAAATGCATGAAAACATTAATCTTGATCAAATACCTACACCATACAGGGTATTATCCAATACGGTTTTGTGTGAAAAGGTGCAAAAATGAGATGAGTATTTCAGAGATTTCAGTGTATTGTCAGATCAGGTGAATGATTATGTACACTAATTATACATAACATGATGACTATAACCAACTTGTTTCATAAAAACGTACAGCTGTATTATCACCATTACTGCTGTGGACAGTTGCAATGATAAAACCTTTAATTTCAATTTTATTTGAATATTCTTAGAAGATATGCACAGGAGTCACATTAAGTTATCATTTTTTCATATTAAAGAAAGCTTTGAACAATTTGATCTACATGTCTTTATTTTGTTTGTGTTGTTGGTTTTGTTTCCCTCATGGTTTTGTTAGTGTTTGCGGTTACCCTGTCTCATTGACACATTCCTAAAATTTCCTTTTGTTCATACATAAAATCATTTAGATATTGCATCATGTCTATATTTATATAGTGTAAAAGTCTGCAAATATGTTCTGATGTTCTGACAAACAAGTAAGAAGATACCATCGATAAACAAAAAAATAGCTTTTGGTCAGACCATACCATGCATGATCAAAAGAAAAACCAAAGGCTATAAAATGCCTCTGTCGCTCATTTAATAGGTCTATGTGCATCTCCAACAATGGACACTCTTAACATTATAGACTAGAATAGAATTCATGACGCAAAACTCTTTTTTGTTGATCTCGTATTGATGATAATTTTTTCTATGTACAGTCCGTCTATGTCAAATATATATTCACAGCAGTTTCAAGATAATAGACAAAATTTGCATTTTACCCCCACCCCCAATGTTCTTTTTTTAGCCATGTTAGTTGTCAGGCAGGGTCCTCAGACACAATTTATAACCTAGATACCCTGTAAACGATGATTGTGGCCATTTTGCCCAGTAGTTTCAGGGGAGATGACTTTTGTAATAGTTAAAAGACAAGAAGAAGATGACAGACCGCTGCACGCCAAGTAATGAGAAAAGCTTACTTGGCCCTTTGGGTCATGTGAGATTATTTTTATGTCTGAATGCTTTTTAAAACCTTTGGCCTTTTAAAGCTCTAACATAGTATTCAGTTCATCCAAATTCCAAGTTTTAGGTCTCCTGGTCCTAAAGGTCACTACTTGGTGATTAGAACAAATGTTGATCCACACATTTCTACACTTCAAGGACACATATTATATGCTCATTACTGAGTGAAGAGAACATTTGATATCACTTTAGAGTTTAGATCTCTTTGTGATGTCTATAGATCTGTCTAAGATTTTTGAAATTTTTTAATAACATCATGCAAGTATGGTCTATGAAAACAGTGCAATTGGCTACTTGTGTTTTTTCAGTAACTCTGAAAAATTAACCAAATGAAATTAAAGAAGGATCCTTCATCACTGGCATGTTGTATAATAAAGACAGATGAACTAGTGCTGTCAACAAAGATTCTAAGGAACAAGATAATTTTTTCTGTTTGGATTGCTTGTAAAAACTACTACAATATTAGTTTATAATTTATTTTCTAATCATTTTATTTCTGTTCTTTCTCAACTAGTCACAACATTCCAAACATCTTCTATTCTTCTT